CACCTAACAATCGAGGGGGATTCCAAAGTGGTGGTGGGTTGGTTGAAAAATCCTGCAGAGGCTATGTGGCGTTACAAGAATGAAATGAAGAAATTTAGTTGGTTGACAAGGAATATGTTGGTCACTGTACAGTGGGTGGGGAGATCAGCAAATACTTTGTCAGATGTGTTAGCTAAGCAAGGGGTAAATAGGGAAGAATTGTTTTTGGCTCAGTTGTGATTCTTGCTTTTCTTTCCTAGTTTACTTGTAAGATTCTAGGAGGGGATGCAGCTCGCGCTTCTCCATTGGGTGTTGTATGAACTCAGTCTAAATTTGCTTCTGAATTAATAAATTTATTATCATTCATAAAAAAAAAGTAATATCTTTCAAACTTTATATGTCTACTCTTTTTATTTTCTCTGCTTTTGATAGATAATAGTGACTTTAGTAATAGCAGTTTTGACTTGTACGTAGACTTCTTGCTTATAAAACATTGTTCTGAATGGTGATTTCTCTAAGGTTAGGTTTATCATGTGGGTTTGAATTGGAGTAATGAGTATTTTTGGAGCAGATTGATACAAGTTTTATAAATCTAAAGTTCTTGATGCTGAATCCATAGGGAACAAAGAAAGATAGAGGGGAGGGGAGAGAGAATTTAGAAGTGTAGCAAAGAGTAGAGAATATATAGAGTTTGAGGGGACACACACAGATAATTGACGAATGGCGATGTTTGAAAACAAAACTTTCATTCACTCTGATTCAATACATGGTAATAGTTAGGGTTGGATTCATAATTTCATACTTGTCATGGTGTCTCCTAGGAAGGCACTCAGGTGATGACTAAGTGCTTTTCTCTTTCTCTTGCCCCCTGCCCCTACCAGACCAAAGTCTTTGCCCTTCTTTTTTTTTCTAACTTATCTCTGTAATATTTTCTCTCTCTCTCTCTCTGTATTTGTGAATAGACATGAAGCTCTACTCCTTTTTGTATTCTATATATGTTTTCTTCTTTGCCCCTTGAATTTTTTTTCTTGATCCGTCTTACTTCTCATTTTCTCTGTTGGCAAAAATAAGAGCTTGATCCCTTTGATTCTTTGACTCATGCACTCAGAAAACAAGGACCCTCTCTGAAAATGGTACTGTGGTCTGCTCTTGTTTTTTCTTTTTGCATTTTCTGAGTAATTAATAACTGCCTTTCTATTCTCCTCCCCCCTTCTCTTTACTATCAGGCCAGGGGCTTTGCCCTTCATTTTTTCTTCCAAATTTTCAGTGCTACCCTTTCTAGCTTGAACAGACAAGTGCTCTACTCATTTCTTTGTTTTGTTGTTTTATTTTGTATATGTATATCTTTCTAGATAAAATAAAAATATGGGCCCCTTTTCTTTCCCTATCCTTTTCCCCTTTCCATCATCTATGTAACATTGAGTATAACAAGGGATTCAAAACATTGATTTTTCATTGGATTGAATGAAGTCATGATTATCTACTTCCGTATGTGGTAAGTTCTCTCTCTATCTTAGTTTTTTCCCCATTTGCTTTTCTGTTACTTTTTGTCAATTTATTAACCAGTTTTTTTTTTATTTAATTTGTTTTTCATTATTTCTTAGTTATGTTTTACTTCTTGTTATTGTTGAATTCTAGCCTAGATATGTGAAATTCTTTATTGCATGTTGTCTTGACATGTAAAATTCATTGTTTGGTAGTTGCTATTTTAGTAGGAAAGCAACAAAAACTGCCTTTTTATTGTCAAAATTCATCATCTAGGTCAGTGCCTAGTTGACTAGTTGCCACCTAAATTCCCCTTAGTACCTTGACAACTATGGTTGGATTGCATTGATCACAGGAGAAAATATAGAAACTGCCACTGCCCTCTCTATTAGCATATGGGAATTGATTGTCCTACAAAGTGTTTCTATTTATTTTGTTATTGCTTCCTTGTAGGTGCCTACACTGCTTGATAAACAGGGGGCACAACTCTTTGCCGTGGCTTTACTTGTTGTTACGAGGACATGGATCTCAGATCGCATTGCTTCTTTGAATGGTATTTCTGATTTCTGCCATGTAGTTGCATATGCATATCTTTCCACATCATTCCCCGTTATGTACATGTGCTTGCATTCACAGGGACAAGTGTAAAGTATGTTTTAGAGCAGGATAAGGCTGCCTTTATTCGATTAACTGGTATCAGTGTTCTTCAAAGTGCCGCTTCATCCATTGTAGCACCATCTTTGAGGTAACTCCTATGTTATAAGACAAAATAATCTGCTTTAGGAAAAAAGTAGATTCAAGTTCTTTGAATTTTTAATGTAACTGTCTACATCTTCAGAAGTCATGTCTTTAGAAATTATCTCACTAAAGGAATTTATAATAAGAAATTCCATTTTAGTTGTCATTAGATATATTGGGGATGAACTGATGAAGCCATATGTTTGTCATAGTCATGCTTAGACATCTAGGACTTCATTGTAAATTGCTTATTTTTCTTGTTTTGAATATATTTAGCCAAAGGATTTGTTATTTTACAGGTACTTAACAGCCAGATTGGCCCTTGGGTGGCGAATTCGTTTAACTCAACATTTGCTGAAAAACTACTTGAGGAAGAATGCATTTTACAAGGTATTGATAAAAAAATTTGCATTTTACAAGGTATATCCAGATGATGGAAGAGTCATAATATCTAGCCATTCTCTGATCAGGTTGAAACTTCTTGAAGAATAAACAGTGTGTTGTATTTAGTTACACTTTGCTGCATAAGAATTGGTTATATCTGCACTGTTTTTATTAGTATATTTAATTTAAAAGTTGTGTACTTTTTTCATCCAACCCTTTTTTGGGTTTACAGAAAATGGTAGTTTATTAATAATATCTCTCATTGGTATATTTAATCTGAATGCGTTTTCTCTCCTACCATTTTTTGGATTCAGAGAAAGGGATATTTATGCACCATTTTTTCATGCTTTGTCTATGAACAGTACCGATTCTTTCATTTATAGTCTATGGTTCATAAGCTGTTACTTTTGGTGACATTTGCTTGTCAAATGGATCTTTCTGTAGGACTGATAAAAATGGATCTTTTTATAGGTATTCCACATGTCAGGTCATGATATAGATGCAGATCAAAGAATATCGCATGATGTTGAAAAGCTGACAACTGACCTTTCAGGACTTGTGACAGGAATGGTAAAGCCAACCGTGGATATTCTCTGGTGAGTACTTGTCACATTAAACTTTCAGATGATGCTCTCCTTCATTTTTGGCTGTCATGAATAATGATAATGATTTATGTAATGTTGAAAGGATAAAACCTGTATACAGAAAATTGCTGTTGAATAGCATGAGTTATGAAACTTCTCTAGTTACTAGTCACATGGGACATGCAATCTGGGAGAGAACTGGGACAAAAAAAAAGTATGAAAATTGAAAAACGAGAGAGGGATAGGGCTTCCAATGGAGTTTGAAAGTCTGAGATTTGATCAAAGATCCAATCTAATTATTTTGGATCTTTATGATCCATTAAATAAATTGAACTTGTATTAAGTTTGGATATGTTTAATAATTGGTTTGATCCTATTCGATCTGCTTAGATCCTTACTATATAATACTGATACTTCAAATATTTGTAGTTACTAACCACATGAGACATGCAATCTGAGAGAGAACTGGGATCAACAAAAAAAATACGAAAAGTGAAAAATGAGTGATAGGGATAGGGCTTGCGGTGGAATTAAAAAGTCTTAAGATTTGATCCCAATACCCAAGGTAATTATTTTAGATCTTTATGATCCATTATATAAACTGAACTTGATTTTTGAAGTTTGGATCTGTTTAATAATTGGATTGAATATGGATCTAATCCTATTCAATCTGATTAGATGCTTACTACATCATGCTGATACTTTACATCCTAGCCTAAAAAGTCATATCAATTTTAGGTATTATACATGTGTGCCTAGCCAATTAATTTATTTTTCTATTTTATTTTTCAGTTTTTCTTTATTATAAAGATGGTAGATTTAACTCGAATTAGATCCAAAAGTCAGATAGGATTCAAATTTGACCCGAAACCCTCTAGATCTGATCAGATTTTGTATCCAGTTCAGTAGTGGGTGGGGACATAACTGGTTATCCCTAGATGAGGGCAGAAGAGGGATGAAAGGTGGAAAGAGAGGTGTGGACATAATTGGAAAAAAAGAATATGGTTTATAAGTGGAAGATAAAATGTTTCAGACTCTAATAAAGAGAGAGTGTGAAATAAGTAATATGATGTATACTATAAGTAAGAAAAATATCAGAGAAACTTGAACTTTCAAAACATCCATCTTATTTCAATAAGTTTCACAACATTCCCGTTGTTAATAGAGAAAAGTATCTTTGATTGAGAAAAGCATCAATCTTTTGTGAAATTACATGAGATATCGGGCTATCCAGGTTGGCCCCATCCTTTCTAGGCGGCTTCAATTGATTTGGGATGTTTCAAAACCATTTTCTATCTGCTTCAATGATATGGTCTTGGAAGTGTGGCTTCTCTGTTTGAAGCCTACTGACCAATGTTTTGTAAATCAGAACTGATGTGATGGTTGAACTATAAAACCAGGAGGCACCATGGTCAACAAGTATATGGCTTTTAGATGGGTGTAATGGTTCCAACTGGTTGAACCATGAAAACCTTGGAATGAAAGCGTGCAAAGCTTTCCGTTTAACTTTTCATTTTGTTTCCAAAAGATTGGTGATGAATCTAATACCAAAAGATCTATAGGTAGGGGAAACCCCACTAAAAAACAAATTCCCTGATCTCTTTGCGCTATCTAACCTTAAGGGGTAAGCTATATCCATGTTGGGATCACCGTGTCCAATTGGTTTGAACTAGAATTTGGGCTTTAGAAGGGGACTAAGGGAGAATGAGTGTGAATCCTTAACCCGTTTGCTGGACCTCTTACGGCAGATCCACTTGGACCCTTCGTTGGAAGACTCTAGAATTTGGGTAAGCTCTCCAGAAGACCTCTTTTCTTTCTCTTCTTTCTTCAGAGTACTTGCTTCCCCTAACCCTCTAGGTGGGATTTTCCCTGTGAAAGAAATTTGGTGCAAGCCTATTCCCCCGAAGATCCAAGCTTTCTATTGGGAAGTATTCCTTGCTAAGGTAAACACTTATGATATGCTGTAGAAAAGAAGGCCATATATTTGCCTTTCTTCTCATGTGTGTTCACTGTGTAAGGAAAGTGGTGAGACCCTTTCTGATTTAATGATATCCTATTCTTTTGTGCATCGATTTTGGGAATTCTTGTACTCTCTTTGGCTGCAGGTGGGTTCCCCTCAAGATGTGGCAGGACTCTTCAATCATGATTTCTTGAGACAGAGAAAGAAAAAAGGGATGGTAATGTGGAAAGCAACAAAGGCAGTAATTTGTTGGGTAACATGGGAAGAGAGGAACAGCAGAATTTTTTTGGAAAAAAGTAGAACAATAGAGGAAGTGATTGATAGTATCAAGGTGAAAGTAGCCCATTGGGTAAAACCCTTGGACTGCTTTCAAGTCTTTTCAGTCGCAGATATTCTAAGAACATGGTCTGAAGTAGCATAGTCTTCGAGAGTAAGAGTTAAAGTAAGGCTGGAGTGGAAACCACCTGAAGGCAATAAAGTAAAGCTGAATTTTGATGGGTGCTCATATGGAAATCCAGGCATCACAGGAATAGGAGTATTAAGAAACTCTGACAGGAGGATATTGGGTATGTTCTCAGGACCGGTCGGCAACGGAAACTTGCTGAAGGCTGAACTATTGGCATTACAACAAGCGTTACAGCTAGCCAAACAACTAGGATGCAGACATGTTGAAGTGGAAGGGGACTCAAAAATAGTAATTTCATGGGCAACAAATAGCAGCCACAGCCCATGGACATTTAAACATGTGATTAGGGAAGTGGAGAAAATTGCAAAGGAGGTTGAGTCGAAATTTAAATGGGTCAGAAGAAGTGCAAATGGGCTAGCTGACGGATTAGCAAAACAAGGGGCATTGAGACGGGAATTATTTTGGGCTACACTGTAATGAGGGGTGAATAGAGTGATGAAAGTTGTTCATCAGTCCCATCATCAAGTTGTATAAACTGCTTACAATCTGAATTTTAATAAAATATATATTTACTGATAAAAAAGACAAACCAAAAGAGTTTAAGATTCTGCTCTCTGCATTAGTCATAATGATCAACATTGTTAGTTACTTAAAGTTGTATATGGACATTATGTTGTCTTTTTCACCACAATGCTTTTACTACAACAGTTCATATGTACATTAGTAAGGTCAAAAGCTGTGAAATGTGGCAAAATGTCTTGGCATTTTTGGTTATATGTCAAACGAAAGGAAATTGTCAACCTGCTTTTTTTTTATACCTGACTTATGAGTAGCATTGTTTTTTAGCCATATCCCCCTTCCTTTTCCCCCTCATTATGAATTATGAGTAGCATTGTTTCTCTAATCTCAGATTGCTTATCATATAGTTACCTTCCTTCCTCATGTCATAAATCCTGCTACGTCCTTTACCAAACTTCTGCTTCTTGTGGCTACTCTGGTGGTCAACTGAATTCTGAACTAACTGTTAGTTTAAAGAGAAATCTTTGTTCTTTTTTCCTCTTCCCTTCTGTCCCTTGTCCTGCCCATCTGAGTTCCTTATTCTCTGATCTGGCATTCTAGTGGCTTCCAGTCTCCAACTTTTACTAATCATTATAAGCATCACTGAAACTTTGCAGGTTTACTTGGAGAATGAAACTATTAACCGGACGGAGGGGAGTTGCCATATTGTATGCTTATATGTTACTGGGTCTGGGTTTTCTGCGGAGTATTACACCTGATTTTGGGGATCTAACAAGCCGAGAACAAGAACTTGAAGGAACTTTCAGGTTCATGCATACAAGATTACGAACTCATGCTGAATCGGTTGCTTTCTTTGGAGGTGGTTCCCGAGAAAAAGCTGTAAGTGATTTGTCTTTCACATTCCACCATCCATTTCATAGTTACAGTAATATACTAAGTATTATTACTTAGTTTATATTAGCTTATTTCTTATATTACCAAGTCAGTATGATTCTAATTGAGACTTGACTTGAGCTTCTAGTATCTTTTCATCTTATTCTTATCTATCCTTAATAACTTATACATAAACTGATTTTTCAGGGACACTCTTTTGAAGTTCATTTTCTTAGTGCCATCTAATCTTCTTTGACTTCTGTCCTTTAAGACTTGCAAATTACATCTATAATTTAGTTATGCTCACACATAAATTGAATAGTGGTTTGTTCATTCGTGGCATGTCTCTTCTGGGTTGTTAATTTTATTTTTGGCCCCAAAATTTACTCTCAGTGGAGGGGTGGCACTGTGAATTTTATTAATATTAAAAAAGGAAGAGGTGGGGGAGGGGTGACGTAAATACCTTACCCCTCAAGAGAAGCTATACAAGGAGATCATCTCAAAAAACGAAGATATAGAAGACGATAGGTATCTTCCTAACAAGGGAGAGGCTAAAGATGGCTATGGTTCTTGTGGAAGGAGTCAAACGATAGCAATTGAGGAAGTGGAGCTATGTGGCAGCTTGGGGATGGATAAACAAAAGAAACTGGGAAATTTCACCAAAATGGAAAGACAATCTTTAAGCAGTCCAAAAAACTTGGGTCAGGAGAATAGTAAAAAACTTGAGATACTAGGTAAGGGTATGACAGCCAACAGGATGTTTGTTCAGGTAGTAGCCTCCGACGCCATGTAAAATATTTTGAATGGTTTAAATGAATTAAATACTTCAGGGAAGGGGAAGGGTCCGTTGTTAGTACAGGCTGAACCACAGGATGGGGGAGGTAAACCATCGGGTCTGGCCGGTGCTTCTCTAGAAGCTGAAAATCATGTGGTGGTCGACCCCATGGACAATGGGCTTTTAATATCAAGATCAGCTCCTGGGCCTAGCAAGCCCAAAACCAAGTTAAGTGGGCCAAAACTAAATGACCCAGGTTTTAAGATGGCATGTGCAGACTTAAAGGAGGATGTGACAGCTCTGCAAAGGCTTCCAGCTCCTTACAGTGGATCCCATCCAAGAAACTGACTCAATTCTCACAGGATCACCATAATCCAAGATGTGTGAAGCGCAGTGAGATAGATAACTCAGATATGGAAATGTCAACAGATAATGAAGAGTTTTCTGATTCGGATTCGAACTCTGGAGAAACACTCAGTCTGGGAAGCATTGACCTTCAAAAACCTAAGGATATCATGGAGGGAAGCTTAAACACTGAGTTATTATTTCCAGAGGAGGAAATGGACCCACAAGATTTCAGCAATGACAAACAGACGAGGGATCCGAGTTTCAACGGCATTGAACAGATATCTTCTATTCCAGAAATTATCACACAAAAAACAGATGGTTTTAGAAGCACTTACAGAGGTTTGGCAGATTACATCTCATCCAATAAACGAGCCTACTCCTTTAGCACAACCTATTCAGGATATCAGGCCAGAGAGATGGGAATCAGCTTTGATGCCTCACCTAAGGATTACATAGAGGGAAAGAATAGAGAGGTACCTTCGACTGTTAGGGGTGAAAAAGTTATGGTTGAACCTAGTCCACTTCCACAGGTGAGTGAGAAAAAAGGAATGGGCCTGGTCTTGATTTCAGCAGTTGATACCCAACATCCGGTCTTGTTGCAATCACTGCCATCAATCATTATAGTTGAAATTGTGTTGGCTCTTCTTTGGGTTTTGGTTGATATATGGAAGAATGATGTGTTGATGTGTTCTTATTCCTAGCTTGTAGCCATTGGGCACAGGATTTCTGCTTCCAAGATACCCTCTATATATGCCAACCTGGAGAATTCTTCTTTGGCTTTGGATCTTCTACAACCGTCTTCCTCTAACAGCGTACCTTCTTCCTCTTTTGCATCCAATCCCTGAACAGTTTCCAGTGCCTTATCCTTCTAGGTTGAAATGCATCCAGGAACCTCTGTATTCCACAATTTCATTCTAACTTTCAGAAGCTTGATCTTCTCTACAAATCATTTACCTGGATTCTCTAGCACTAGTGCTTTCCCCCACCATCTCTGCAAATTGTTAATGTAACCTAGTTCTTCGTAGAGCATAAGTTCCAAGCAGAAAGGCCCACCTTGTTCTTATTTGAAGCCTATTGCAAGAAAATCAGGCAAGGTTAAGGTAGCTTGAAGGGACTTCCTAATTTACTTCATATAGATGACATGACCAATTCTTCTAATCAATAAAATACTTCATTATGCATTGACTATCCTTAGAATCAGGTCTGTTAGATGCAATGTATCCCCCCTCTTTGGTTATTTGAATGGGCTTAGACGGGATTGTCTGTAAGCTTTTTTTAACCAATAAAAGTAATCCAATTATTTTAAACTTTTTTAGGTGATTGTGCATTTAGCATGATGTATACAGACTCTTTAATTAAGTTTAAGTGCATACATGATGTATGATAGTCTTGTGGTTGATCAAATCCCAACTATTGTAGGGTTCTGATAGGTGATGCCAAATAATATCAAAAGTTAGGAAAAATGTATTCAAATTAGGGATTAAAAGACTCCTAAACTAGGGTTTTAATTAAATGTAAGTGCTTACATGATGCATAAGTGTGCCAAATAATATCAAAAGTTGTGAAAAATGTACGCAAATTAGGGTTTAAAAGGCTCCAAAACTAGGGTTTTGTTTAAAATATATTAGGATATGTTTATTGATGTATTTAAGTGGGTTAATATGGCTCGATATGAAATTTAACAGGAAATAAATTATGGCTGGAATGTGAAATTTGTAGAATGGGAAAAAGTGCTAAGAAAGGAATATTGGGTTTGTATCCAGTTTACCCCTCCAAAACCCCCCGGTTTCTGCGACCATCATTGGATAATGACCCTACAATGCCACCTTCTTTAGACATTTCTTTTTCTAGATCTTAAGTATTTATCAGAGAGTAGATTTTCCCTAGAAGACATCTCTTGGGTTTTAACTAATGAAAATTCTCAGATAATGTTCAAGGTGGTTTTTGTACCATTTGTGATGTATTATTAAATTCAGCGATGCAGAAGCTTTTACATGGCAGTTGTAGCAAGAGAATTAGAAAGAAAATGGAAAGGCGAAGAGATGAAACTAAACACTAGAATTAATCTACAGTTAATGGGAATCACTAACCAACTATGGATGCATAAACTATTATAAGATTCCATTCATTTGGTTAGCAAGATCTGAGAATAACAACTATAGTTGAATAAGTCTACGGAAGGACACTGTTTAACATAACTATGGAGTTGTCCCTGCACAAAAGAGAAAAACATGTGTAACCCACCGTCCCCAAAACTATAAAATCTGGTAGGTATTTGAACACGATGATCAAACTACCCTTGCTGCCAAAATTCCGAAACTTCCTTTATTGGCTTTTTTATCTTCTCCACCATTACATTTCCACATTTATTTTCCTAAATCTTGTCTCTGTGACTTTTTCCTTTCTTAAATTGTATTTGACTATCTCTAAGTTTTCATCAGTCATTAATCTGTGAATGTCTGTGCTAAACAGATGGTTGATTCAAGATTCCAGGAACTGCTTGATCACTGTAGGATGCTTCTGAAGAAAAAATGGCTGTTTGGTATATTGGATGATTTTATCACAAAGCAACTTCCACACAATGTTACTTGGGGGTTGAGTTTGTTGTATGCTATGGAGCATAAGGGAGATCGAGCATTGACTTCTACCCAAGGTGAGATTGTTGAGCTCTTGTTATAGTCATATTGTCTCCTTCTTACCTTTCTAAGCGTTTCAGGTGAACTGGCACATGCACTGCGATTCCTAGCATCTGTGGTATCACAAAGCTTCCTAGCATTTGGTGACATTCTTGAGTTGAACAGGAAATATCTTTTACTATCTGGTGGTATCAATCGGATTTTTGAGCTGGAAGAGCTTCTTGATTCTGCTAAAAATGGTAACTTCGTTTGTATAATTTTTTTTTGTTTGACAAGTTTTAGTTTTGGCACTGTATCACATAACTTGGATGTTTAGGTTTTAAATCTAACTAATAATGTGATATGTTTTTCTTTGTTCATTTATGAAGTTGTATTACCCTATTTCTTTTTAATTTTAGGAGCTTTACCACATTGTTAGTTGAAATGCTTCATAACAAGAGACTTCGTGAACAAATGATTCAGGTTGCAATTGTCATGGGGATGACCCATAACATTAATACTGTGATATGTGCATGTTGCACATGGTTAGTAAACTGAAACATTAAGATGTGAGGCCATCATTGTCATTGGGATGACCCATAACAAATGCCATTCTGACAATACAACAGATCAGTGAAATATTGACAGTTGAATTGAGCCCTAGGATTTCTCTTGAAAGGATTATAGGGACCTATGAACCGTGTGGATTCATGACAACTAAGACACCAGGGTCTCCTTAGTGGTTGGATTTGATTATTGCTAGTTGTGCAAATTTTCCAAGTCAGTGGTCTGTTATAGTGTATGAGTTGTACTACTTCATATAGATCTTTATCTTATTTATTTTTATATCCACAATTTTCTATATATGGTTTTATAATTTCATTCTTTCTGTAAAATCTCTCCTTATAAAAGTAAAAGAGAAAGAAAATGAGAATAGTTTTATTTTGTGTAAAGGCAGAGGAATTATTGCTCAAACAAATTTGATAGGTGAATGGCCTAATGCTTTTTTCTGGGAAATATTAAAACGGCTGAAGTTATCAACTTATTGACGGAAGCAATATTTCTTGACTTCTTCATTTTATAATGGCAACAGGGTAGTTTAGGCATTTTACTTTATAAAATAAGGACACTCCAGTCCATAAATCTCCATAGACAGGGTTATTATTGTAAATACCTTTTATTAGGTTAATTTAAAAGGCTGGCCAACTGCTTTAGAACAGATTAGACATTCTAATTCTTTCTAATCAGTTCGCTGGGTTTTCTTCTCTTCCAACCTCTTGTTTCTTAGTTTCTTTCTCCCTTTCTCTCTTGATCTTTCCTTACTTTCTCTTCTTTTGTCCTTTCTTCCTCTACTATTCTGATTACAGGATACCATATTCACATGGTATCGGAGCAGGAAAAGTGAGGGATTTCTATTTCCCCCATAGTTGTCAAGGCGGCGCTTAGGCGACAAGGCACCGTTTGAGGCTCGCCTCGCCTAATCGCCAAGCAGTTTTGTACTATGTATTCTAAAATGCTTTTTTATTCTTTATTTTTTGACATTATAATTATAACATATGCACTATTAAACTAAAATATTCATTTTGTGTATTTCTATACTAATTTTTTTATTATTTTCTTATTTGTTAGGATTTAATCAATACAAATATTGCTAAATGCTGTATTGAACCCTCAAAGACTTTAAAACCTGAACCAATAAGTAAGGAAGAACATAAAATTTTGTCTAATCAAGACATTTTCTATACTTTAACATGAACTCTATACTTTTCATATGAAAATTATGAATAATTATTAAGGAAATATGGCTATGGTACCTAGGGAACTACCCTAGGATCTATGTTTTCTATATAAAAAAATCCATCGCCTAGGCGACAAGGCGCCCTCTAATGCCTAGCCTCGCCTTGGTGCCTCAAAAACTATGATTTCTCCTAATCAACTTGACTAGGTTTTCTTCTCCAAGTGCGCTGTAACTTACATTGGGGAAATGGAGGTAGACGTGGAAGTAGTGGACATGACCCATTTGGACCACAAGTTGGTAGAATTGATAATGGAGGTGGGGGTGGCCATGTACGTGGCAAAAGTACATCAACCGAGTTTTGCACTCATTGTGGATTAGAGCGCCACATTGTTGGGTATTGTATAAATCTATATGGAGTTTGGTTCTGCACATATTTTATGAGGCCATATAGTTGACTATTGCCATTTCCAAGGAGGAATATAATGGACAGTTAGTCGCTACATCTTCCTCCATTACTATTCTTGCCTAGACATCAAGTACTGGCTCTACTTGCCTTCTCTCTATCATGTCTCCTTTGGTCATTGACTCAGAAGGTATAAACCACATAATAGGTAGTTCATCTACTTATACCCATTTTAATCCTTTATCTTCTTCTACCTGACACGTTACCCTTAGCCAAGGTTCAAAGTAGTAGTCGTACAAGACTACAATCTGTTTTAAGTTTTAATGGTAAAACAAATAAAGATTGAAGAGAAGAAGAAGAGAGAAGAGAAGAAGAGGAGAGGAGAAGAAGAACTCAAAGAGAGAATTCAGAAAAGAGAGTGACAGTAACTAGCAGTAGCCGCCCCACTCTTATAATTTATATTCATATTCAAATAACTGTAAAGGGCTGAATTACCCTTATTGCTTACATGGCAAAATAATAAAAGGAAAACTAATAACATGTCTGAAATAACTACTAACTAACAAACTGAAACAACTAACATAACTAACTATCTACTACTATCATACGAACACAGTGGGGACCACATCAGTGGGGGTCCCATCAGTGTTCTCTACACTCCCCCTCAAGTTGGGGATAGATATTTGTCATTACCAACTTGCATAGGTTTGCCTCTAACTTCTTCCTTGAAATAGCCTTGGTGAGAAGATCTGCAAGCTGCATGTTGGAGGTGATATATGGAAGACATAGTTCTTGGGGTGCAACCTTTTCTCTGATAAAATGTCGGTCCACTTCAATATGCTTAGTTTTGTCGTATTGTATTGGATCATGGGCTATATTAATAGCCCACATTTCTGACCCTCCCCATTGGGTTAAAATCATCTGATGAAAGATCCGGGTCAATGTTGGAATCTCATTTCGAAAACGCATAAGGTAAACCCAAGAAAAACAGGTATAATCATCAACAAACAACAAGAAATATTTGTACCCCCCATAGCAGTGATATGATAAGGTCCCCAAACATCTGTATGCACAATTTCAAAAGGAATATTACTTCTTTTATTACTCAATGAATAGGTTGGACATTTGGACAAACTCAAACAAACTAGGAAACAAACTCTTCAAAGCCTGAAAAGATAGACAACCCAATCGATTATGCCAAAGCATAACCTGACCAGCAGACTGAGAAACAAAAGACCTCCTAGCTTCACTATCTTCCCAATGAGAGCTCCCTCCAAGCAAATAGATTCCATTCATCTCACAGCCGGTCCCAATCACCTTCCTTGTCTCTAAATCCTGAAAAACACACCAATTAGGGAAAAAAGTCACTGAACAATTTTGGTTTTTAGTAATGCTACTAACTAAAAGCAAATTAGTACTAAGTTTAGGAACATGCAAAACTGAAGACAAGGAAATGGCATTAGACAGCTTTATGTTTCCCTTGCCAGAAATGGGAACAAGGGAACCGTCAGCAATGGACACTGTCTCTGCCAGAAGATAAGTGGTACGTAGTAAATAGTGAGGGCAAGCCAGTCATATGGTCAGATGCACCTGAGTCTATTATCCAACAATGTACAATGTTACCTGGAGCTGAAGCATGATAAGCTGAGGCCCGAGTACTTGAATGAGCAAAGGCTGAGGTGATGGAGCTGAATTACCAACTTCATTTTCCAACTGAGTTAGAGCAGCCAGGACAGCAGCTAGGGTGTCTAGTGGTGTGCTTCCTATGAGGTTGCACAATCAGTACTAACACCCATATTAGCATTACCCTTTTTGTTCTTGAGTTTTGCTAGAACTAGATGAGGATGCAACCTCCAACAGGTGTCTTTAGTATGTTTAGGTTTCTTGCAATGTTCACATTACTAGGTCCCTCTTGTCTTCCTTCTTCATATCCCTCTCTTATCACCCCCAGGCTTAGGTTTAACTGCTGCCAAGGCTGATTCGAAGGGATGATGCTGAAACATAATCTCCTAGTCTCTTCACTGTGCGCTAAGGAATAGGCTTGTGATAGGGTCACACTGTCTCTTGTCAGTAGTTGTTGTCTCACAATATCATATTCAAAATTCAGACCAGTGAGGAACTCAAAAACCCTATTAGTTTCAACCTGTTTTCTATAAGTCTGTACATCGTATTGGCTTTCCCACTCAATTGTTTCTAGATGGTCAATTTCATGCCACAAGGATTTCAAGGTTGAGAAGTAAACCGAGACCTGTTTCTCTCCTTGCTTAAGATTACCAACCTTACATTTCAGCTCATAAGCCCTAGCAACATTAAGGGGTTGGGAGTAGGTCTCTTTCATGACATCCCATATTTCCTTAGATATTTTTGCCCTTAAATAGTTGCACAGCCATGTCATCACCAAATAGTTCTCCTGAATCCATTTGGCATAAGTTGGGTCCTCCTTAGTTGGTTCTTTCACATCCCCCAACCAACAGTTCAGTTTTCCTCTACCCCCAATGGCCATCATGGCTGATTGGGCCCATTCTAAGTAGTTCGATCCACCAAACTTAATAGTTGTAATCTGAAAGGTGTTCTCAGACATGTTACCTGAACCACCAGCTCCCAAAACACCTTTCCCTTGGTTTTTAAACTCCATTCCTGGTTAGGAGTTAATTAAAAAAACACTTTTTTAATCACTGTAATAGGAGAAACTGTACCCAAAACTGATAACAGCCGACCTAGGAGGATGGTTTAGATTCGACAGTTTCCCAGAAACAATGAACAGCTCTACTGGATTTTCCAGAGAGCAAAAAACAAACTCAGATTGAAAGAAGCAAGTCCAACTACTGCCCCGGAATCAATGGCAGACCTGGATTTTAGGTTTTCCTCTTAAAAACCCTAAAAATCAGGTGAAAAAGAAGAGATTTTCCAGTCGCACCTCTCAGAATAAACAAAGATGATTTTTTTAATATCGATCTCAAGAAAAAAAAATCATGAAAAGATGAATTCCAACTTATCCCTTACTGCTGCCGACCTCAAGAAGAGAAGAAAAAAACTTGACTAGAAATTTTTGATTGCCACCTTCAATCTTGATAAAAAAAAATGCTGCCGGCCTCAAGAAGAGATGCAAACTTATCTAGAAAACTCTGATCGCCACCTTCAATCTTGGTAAAAAAACTAATCTTGATCCCTTTATTCTTCTCTGATTCTTTCTAATTACCAAGAAAACTCTCCAATCTTTGGACAGCTGCTAAAGACTTCTGGTATCCTCCAAGAATCAGCCGAAAGGAATGATCTTTCTAAACTTCCAGCCCTAGGTAATTCTCATGTGGTTGGCTGGATTAGACTCACATGTGAAACCCTAGATCGTGCTCTGATACCAAGTAGTTGTACAAGACTACAATCTGTTTTAAGTTTTAATGAGAAAACAAATAAAGATTGAAGAGAAGAAGAGGAGAGGAGAAGAACTCGAATAGAGAATTTAGAAAAGAGAGTGAGAGTAACTAGCAATAGCTGCCCCACTCTTGTAATTTATATTCATATTCAAATAATTGTAAAAGGGCTGAATTACCCTTATTGCTTACATGGCAAAATAATAAAAGGAAAACTAATAACATAAGTCTGAAATAACTACTAACTAACAAACTGAAATAACTGACATAACTAACTATTTACCACTGTCAGAGGGGTCAGTTTAAGGCCCAGCTACCCTCTGAACCAGTGTCTGACCCGATACAACCTGGAGGGGTGTATCGGGAAGCCATCTGCACGATATGTATCGGCCGATACGGGCTGATACGTATCGATACTTTGAACCTTCCCCTTAGCAATGGGGCTATGTCCCAAGTTTTTGGAGTTGAAAGTGTCAGTCCAACTGCAAAACTTCCTTTATCATCTGTGCTTTATGTTCCCAAGTTCCCTTTTAATCTTATGTTTGTGATTCTGGTGGTCTCTATTATATACAAGGTGGCTTAGCAAATATGTCTTAACTTGGCAAACATCATCAAGCTACCTTTCTACATTAGTAACTTGGGATGTTAGTCATGTGTCTCAACCATTTCAGTTAGTGCATTCAGATATTTAGGTTAATTGTCCTATTGTGTCATATTTCCGGTTCAAGTATTTTGCTACTTTTGCTGATGATTTTTCTAGAGTTACTTGGTTATGTTTGTTAAAAAAAAAGACCAGATTTATTTTCTATATTCTAATAATTTTTTATAGAAGTAAAAGACCAGTTTGGCTTCAATATGTGCTATTCAATACCCATGGGGGGGTCCTATGGGTATTCTCCCAACACATAGGACCCCCATTTTTCTTATACTGCTCTAATTCTATATTTTACATCCTCCTGAATCTCTTGTTATTGATTGTCAAACCAAGGTAACAAAAGAGGTCACATTGAGATATCTTTTAGTCTCAATTTCTAAATGCACCTTGATTTCTTCCCCTGAGGTTATTAAATTTGCATTGTATATATTCTGTTTTAGTCCTATTTATTTTAAAGCCTCTTGTTTCCAAGGGATTTGTCAACATATCTAATTTGGATTGAATCCCTCTTTAGTCTCATCAATTAATGCTATGGCAGGTTTTGCAAACAAAGTGAGTACTACCAATAGATATGTAGACTTAATTGAGGACATTCTATAAATCAATAATACTATATGAAGATTTTATTTGTCAACCTAAATTTTCTATCTATCGTCTCGATAAAACGATACACCATTTATGGTTGATCTTACTATTATAAAACCAAGTTAGTTTTTTGAAGATCTTGTTCATATCGATACAAAGATTGGTCAGTTTTCTGGCTTAGACCTTGGCAAGGGGTGGATATGGATGTCTTAGTTGTCCTGGGGTCTTTCTCCTTTGATATTCTATGTTTGTTTACTATTTGTTCTTAGTTTTTTATCTATATGTTTGTGTACTTTAGCCTTTCCTCTGTCATTTATGTTGAGCTTTGGTTGGCCTTCTGGTAGTAAGGTCTGTTGTGTTCATATTTTTCTCGTCTTTGGGAAGACCTGGCAAATTTACTTTATTTATGTTGAAGGAGTAGTATTTTGAGTGTATTTGGATGGCAGGGTATTTAGGTCTTTTCCTCTTAATATAAGGATACTCCTGTCAAAAGTTTTTATAAACAAGGACAGTCTTGTAATTCTCTTTATTATTAAAGCTAATATATTAGTGGGCCGACTGCTAAGAGGATATTAAGACATTATAATCTCTCTCTAATCAGTTCGGCAGTTCTCTCTAATCTCTCCCTTTCTTTCTTTCTCTGTTCTTTACTGTTTGGTGTCTCTGTAATACCATATTTTACAATTTCCATTGTCTTGCTAATGAATTTCTTTGGTTGTCAATAAAGAGACAGGTTATGTGGTTTTACATAACTTGTTCACTTAAATAGGTAAAAACATTCTACATTGATCATAATTTCCAAATATAATCTCCTTCATTATAAAACTAGATAAATAATGTCAATTGTCTTCAATTTGATCTCTGATAACGGTACTTCACAATCCCAAGTCCTTAACCATGGCTCTGTTCACAGAAACCCACAAACATGCAGTTATGGTAGGGATATATTGTTTTGATCTGGAAAAAATACTTGCTAATTAATACACAAGGAACTGTTGATAACTTATACAGAATGCAATGACAACAGATGTACACAATTTCCTCATTCTTGCAGCACCTACAAGAAAAGCTTTGGTTAAATATTAGATATTTTTTTCAAAAAGTTGGGGACTTTAGTGTGTAAATATTATTTTATTGTCTTAATGATACACCCATTTTAATGTATGCCTTGTTCATTTTCTTAAATGAAATTCTGGCACTAGCAGATTTTGTCACTAGTGTTGCCCTTGTTTGATTTTAGCATATTGCATCAAAATATATAATTTCTTGGTTAACTAAATGAACATATAGTGTTTAAGAAGTATGCACTCACATTAATTTGTGATACAGGGGTTTCCCTACCAGAATCTCAGTCAATGTTCAAGAAAGATGATGTTACCACTGAAGATATTATTTCCTTCTCTGAGGTTGATATTATCACCCCAGCCCAGAAACTGTTGGCAAGGCAGTTGACATTTGACATTACACCTGGAAAGAGCTTGCTTGTTACTGGTTAGTTATGTATACTCTCTTTTCACATAGTTTGTGCTTTCCATTTAGCTTTGATCTTAGGTCTGTTTGAAATTTTGAAGGTCCAAATGGGAGTGGAAAGAGTTCCATTTTCAGAGTTCTTCGAGGTGTATGGCCTATTGCAACCGGAAGGCTGGTTAAACCTTGCCAAAATATCAAGGATGTGGGAGGTTCAAGATGTGTATTTTATGTTCCTCAGCGGCCTTATACATGCTTGGGAACCCTACGGGATCAAATCATTTATCCTCTCTCACAAGAGGAAGCTGAATTGAGTGTAGTGAAAATGCTTGGAACAGGTGTGTTAATTATGGAATTTTTCTTTTATGCTCACACCCTATATTTTAGGTTAATTGTAGATAGACTTCTCATGTACAACTTCCTGCTCCAGTTTTCTCTAATTCTCCTTTTCCAGATCCATCAAACATTGGCATTTTAATTAAATGGGTAGATCATCAGTTAAAAATCAGCAGAACTGATACCTATGGAACATTCTTTCAAACTCTGTAACTTTTTGGGAGCTTTCAATGAAAGCTTTACATTCAGCACATGAACATCCTACTTGTGCGTTGATATCAGATATTGGTGTCTTACTAGATGGTAGAAAGGTAAATTTAGTTGATTCACGGGACCTTATTTTTTTCTTTATGGTGTGTAGGAGTGTGAACAGTTATTTATTTATTTACTAGCAGGGACCCGTGTGATGCACGGGCTTTGTTAAAACAATTTCAGGCAATAAAGCTAGGGGTGCAAGTTGGGTGTACCCAATTCAAGCCCAACCCGATTCAATCAAAACTTTTGCAGAGGTTGGGTTTGAGTTTTTGAACTTTAAGATGGGCTTGAGCTAAAAAAAAAATTCAGGCCTAAACTAAACTCGGGTTGGGCTTAAGTTCAGGTCTCAGGTACTGATCCAATGCAATTTAAGTTTCCCAATATTTTATGATATATATCTATATATTATCAACCTATTCTATCTGGAAATTGAGCTACAAAGCTCAATATGCCCAAGCCTAGCCTGAGCAGGGATGGCAACAGAGTGGGTTCAGGGAGGGTTTTGTAAATTTTAGACTCTACCCGCCTAGCGTGTCGGGTTGGATTTTGAGAATCCAAACCCTCCCTGTACATGAAAATGCAAAACCCTCCCCGTATTCAAGGGTAGGGGTGGGTTGGGTTTAACACCCGCATCTAATTTCCTATTGAAGAGAGATTGGGCTGAATGTGTCGTAGTATCTTTATGGGCCTGTTACTTCCTTTTATAAGTTTATTTTAAGTTCTTGCATAGCTGGCCGCCCACTTAAGGGCATACTTGTAATTAACTTAGAAAATGAAGATTAACAAAAGGATTAGTGAGGGGAGAGAGGAGATTATCAAACTCTTCTTCTTCTTCCTCTTCTTTTCTCCATCTTCTTTTGTTCTGTTGTCTTCCACTTTCCTTTTACTTTTTTCTCTATTTTTAATCCAGTTTATTCAGTTTTAGAGGACTGATTTACTTCTAGGTATCAGAGTAGGTTTTTCCCTTATCTTTTTTTTTTTTTGTTTTCTCTTTTCCCATACACCCTTCAATTAGGAAAGTGTATGGATAGATAAGTTCCCTATAGTTCAGAGGATCTTTTGCCTAGTTGGTAGAGGGTTTGGAGAGTTGAAGTCCAACCAAAAACTGCCAAGAAGTGATGTTGTATTTTGAATCCTAGCCGATTAGAGAGCTTTAAAGTTACAGGTCAAGGAGAAGCTTTTGGTGTGTCGCTCAGTTGGGAGGTGTATTTTGAATCCTAGAAGTGTGCGGTCAAGACTTGAAGGAGGTTGGGAAGCTCTGGTAAGAGTGTTGCCTATTCTCTCTCCCTTCCCGACAACCAAGTGCAGTGAAACCCTAGTTGTCAAGTATCCGGGTACTATTTTGATCAATGGAGCAATATGGAAGTGAGTCCAAGCAGATGCATGTATTTGGGCTTGGCTTGGTTGATTCCTTTTTGACTGGAGTGACTACAATTAAGTTGGGCACAATCTATATGGATTTATGTCTATAGTAGAGGTAAATTAAGGTATCTCACAGGTAGTAAGGTGAAACCCACAGAGACAAATCCTGCATTTGAGAAATGGATGCAGGTGAACTACACAGTAATCGGATGGTTGGTCAACTCTATGCAGCCCCATATAAGTCAGCACTATCTTTGGGATAGTGTTACGGAAACCTATTCACAGAAGTTAAATGTGGCAAGAGCCTATAAGCTGAAGAATGATGTGAAAAATCTGAGACAAGGGGAGAAGAGTGTAACAATCTACTACTCTAAGCTGAAACCACTATGGCAAGAAATTGATGTTATGGAGACAATTGTATGGGAGAGTACTAAGAATGCATAGACTTTTAGGAAGTTGGTGGAGCGAAATAGGGTATTTGAGTTTCTTACTTGACTCCACCCTGAGTTCAACATTATTAGGTAGAATATTCTGGCCAAGGATGAGGTCACTCTTGCCCAAGCATATGCTATGGTAAGTAGTGAAGAGAGTAGGTGGCAGGTTTAGTTACAGAGTCCACCTACAAAACACTTTGCACATGCTGGAATAAAGCTGAAGGGTCCAACTGAGAAGAAAGAGGTGATATGTGAATATTTCAAGAAACCGAGGCATACTAAGGACACTTGTTGCAAGCTTCATCCAGATATTATCTCGGACAGGTTTAAGAATAATAGCAATAACATCAATTTCAAGAAGAATGGTCAGACAGGTAAGCCTAAGAATGCTAATGTTGCCACAGTGCCTGAAGGAGGGAATAAGGAGAGTGAAGAAAAGTCAGCCATGGAACAATTGGCAGCAACGAAGGCAGAGCTTGAAAAGTATGGAAGGATATTGAATCTCTTTGAAACCACTGTCTCAACATCCCACTCTTGAGGCAACATATCATCATTCGCATTTGCTCACTTAGGTATCCGTGCTTCTGCAAACCATGCTTCTGTTTCAGGTAATCATAAAATCCGTTGGATTGTTGATTTTGGTGCATCAAACCATATGACCAACTTGTCTAACCATTTTTGTTCATCTCATCTCCTCTCTGGTAAAGAGAAAATATCCCTTGCTGATTGGTCTCTTGCTCCCATCGCTAGTAAGGGGGATATCAAGACCTCTAACACCCTTATTTTATCCCTTGTCCTTTATGTCCCCAAACTTAATACCAGTCTTTTATCTGTTAGCAGTTTAACTAAATCCATTAATTGTAGCATAACCTTTTTTCCTACCTATTGTGTTTTTCAAGACCTGAAATCTCATAGGACGATTGGGAGTTTCCATGAGGCAAATGGAATATACATGTTAGACACACCTGATAGGAGTCTTGGACTACCTCATGGAATAACCTTGAATTTGTTTTGTCAGTCTATTGATAGAGTCATCTTATGTCATTTCCGGTTTGGTCATTTGCCTTTTTTCTGCTTTGAGTCATTTGTTTCTCAATATGTTTAAGGGAGTGCCATTATCGAGTCTTCATTGTGAGTCTTGTGAACTTGCAAAGCATTGTAGACATTTTTATTCAGTAAGCAATAAAAGATTTATTTCTCCTTTTCATATTGTGCACTCTGATGTGTGGAGGTCATATCATTTGCCTACTATGGGGGGTTACAAGTACTTCATCCTTTTTATTGATGATTATTCTCATTACACTTGGATTTATCTCATGAGATCTCGGGATGAAGCATCGATTATTGTGCAAAAATTGCATGAACTTATTCTTACCCAGTTTAACTCCCAAATCAAAATATTATGTTATGATAATGCTAAGGAATATTTTGAGAAGAACTTTTCATCATACTTTGAGACTCTTGGGTTTTTTATTCATCAGAGTTCTTGTTCTTACACTCCATAGTAGAATGGGGTGGCAGAAAGGAAGAACCACCGTGTGGTTGAGGGTGCTAGATGCCTAATTTTTGCATCTCATGTTCCTATTAAATTTTTGGGAGATGTTGTCCTTACTACTACCTTTTTGATTAACTATATGCCTTCCCGGGTTCTGAGTTTCAAAACCCCATTTAGTCTTCTCTTTCCGGATGAGGATCTCTTCTCTTCCTCTCTGAGTTTTTGGGTGCACTTGCTATGTACATGTTCATAACCATCAAAGACACAAATTTGAACCTAAGGCACACAAGTGTATTTCTCTAGGATATGCCTCCACACAGAAGGGATATTGCTGTTTTGATCCGGTTTGTCGCACCCGCTTTGTCTCTTAGGAAGTCACATTTGTTGAGTCTACTCCTTTCTTTAGTATTTCTTCTGAGGGGGAGCAATCTGAGGAACCTGTTTCTATGTCTCCAGTTATTCCTCTTCCAGTTCTATTTGAATCCTTTGTTGAGTTGTCTTCTCCTCCCACAGTGTCTACCTCAAGTGTTCCTGCTCCCCCTCCTCCACCTCATCCTCCTATAATTCCCCCACATCCTATTTTCCAAAGGTGGTACCAAAAGCACAAATTCAGGCATGAGAAAGTTGTTTCCACTCCTGCAGCAGAGCCTCTTGGATCTCCTATCATGAGGTAACAGGTCAGCCTTCCTCTAACCCACCTACTTCCTTCACAGACATTGATCTTCTTATTACCCTTCACAAAGGCAAAGCGGAAGTGTACATCATATTGTATCTCTAAACACTTGTCCTATAGCCTTCTATCCCCTACCTATTACTCTTTTCTTGCTTTTGTCTCTTCTCATGTGATTCCCAGGTATGTACTAGAAGCCCTATCTAAACCTAAATGGAGGGATGTTGTGATGATTGAACCGGATGCTTTGCATAAGAACCATACTTGGGATATTGTGGATTTGCCTGAAGGGATGGAACTAGTAGGTTGTAAATGGGTATTCACCATTAAATATCATTCTGATGGCACTATTGAGAGGTTTAAGGTCCAATTGGTTGCTAAAGGCTACACTCAGATGTATGGTATTGATTACCTTAAGACTTTTGCTCCTGTGGCCAAGATGACTTCAGTTCGGGTTTTGTTGTCTCTAGCTGCTACTTTTGATTGGCCTCTCCACCAGTTCGATGTTAAAAATTCCTTCTTGAATGGGAGACCTACATGAAGAGGTCTATATGTCTTTTGCCTCCGGGGGTGTATGGAAAGGAAATGCAAGGGAAGGTGTTCTTGTCTCCTTTGGTTACACACAAACTCAATCTGACCATACTTTGTTTTTGAAAAGAAGTAACTCTTTGGTGACTTTTCTGATTGTTTATGTTGATGACATTGTGGTCACGGGTAATGACAGTTAGGAGGTGAGTAAACTCAAAATATTTTTCAACTCTAAATTTGAGATCAAGGATTTACGAA